TAATCAAAAGGCTGTTGTTTCATTTTAGCGACAATGAAATGTTAAAAAATCGATTTTATTATTATTATTTTTTTTTTGGAGAAATCAAGCCTGGAGTGCATCGAATGAAAAATAAGGAAAAGAAGAAAAAATTCCCCCCCCCCACTTTTTAATACGGATCAAAACAAACAAATCAAATCAAGTCGCCGGAAACGACAGGGGAATAAAATTTTTTTTTGAAGTTACCCTTCAAAATCAGAAAATATTTCGAATTTGAAAAACTAAAAAAATTGAAACGTTAACAATTTGGAAAGCCGGAAGCCATTTTTTTTTTTTTTTTAACAAGAACCTACGGAAGGTTTTCCTTTTTTTAGAATTTTATTTCAACTTTCAAAAAAAAAAAAAAAAAAAAAAAAGGGTTTTTTTTTGTTTGTCAAGAATACTTTCCCTAAGAGTTATTTTATTCTTCGTGATTTTAAAATTTCAAAATAACATAATTAAAAAGTTTCAATAAAAATCTTTGTAAAAAAAACCCTTAATTTAATTATGAAACATTATTATTATTATTATTACTGTTTAAAATAGAAATTTAAAAACTTACCTTTGTGAGTGAAGTATGTGGTCTCGAAGTGTTTACTCCAACTGCATACACTTCCACAATGTAGAATTCTGATCCTGTTTCTCTATCTAATGCCACTGCGTTTGTCAACACTCCCGATTTAGCGTCCACGTCAAACAAACAATCCGCTTGTTTTCCATTACCCGTAACATTCGTAACGAAATATTCCAAATCGACACCCTGAAGCTTTGCCGATATTGTAAGTATGCTTTTACCGGGTGATTCGTTTTCGTAAACGCTACCCTGAATGTTTTCCTGCAAAAATTTAGGCTCGTTTTCCCCGTCGCCCTTTAGAAAAAGTGTTATGTACGCTTCGGTGGATTTCCGTTCAGATTGTACGGCTTCGTCCGTGGCTTTAACAGCCAAGTGATAAATTGGTTTCGGATCGACCAATGATTGCCTGAGCGTCAGCGCTCCGGAATTTATATCCAATTTGAATAATTCCGCGTTTCCACTAATCAAATCGTATTTCACCAAACCGTTTGTATTTGAATCCAAATCTCGGGCGAAAACATTCATAATCAACGTTCCTTCTCGAGTCATTTGATGCGGCAACACGGCTGCGTTCATTGATGCAAAGATAGGAGCATTGTCGTTTATGTCTTCCACTATTACAGTAACTAATTTTTCCGCGGAGCGACGACTACTCTCGGGACACGCTTGATCCGTAGCTACGACCGTCAATAAGAAAGTATCGACAGCTTCTCGGTCTATGGGTAGCAAAGTGTATATGACTCCTGTCTTCGGATTGATTCCGAAATGTCTTTCGTGACCAGGAGTTTCGGGTTCTTGACTGGAAATCGAATACATAACTTCTCCATTTTTACCCGAATCGGGATCTTCCGCTGTCACTGTAACAATCGCTTTATTTACAGGTATTCCTTCTAATATTTGACGAACCAATGCCGTGTTCGGAAAAACTGGAGAATTGTCGTTGCTGTCTTCTACGGTAACGTTGAACAAGGTGGTCGATGATAGCCGAGGGTTTCCTCCATCAGAGGCTACTATTGTCAATGTGTAAGAATTGAGTTCCTCGTAATCTAAAAGTTTATGTAAATATAATGTGCCCGATGTCGGATCTATGTGAAAAGTGTCCCTTCTGTTTCCAGCTCCAATCGAAAAAGAAATTTCGCTGTTTATTCCAATATCCATGTCGATGGCTTTGAATTGAGTCAATTTAGTATTTACAGGAGTCGTTTCCGGCACGGAAATTTCAAACATTGTCTGAACGAATTCCGGTGCATTATCATTTTCATCTAAAATATCTATAACCACTGTGGTAGACACACTCAATTTGTTTTGTACCGCTCCATCTTCCGCAATAACCGTAAGAACGTATCTTGAAGTTGTTTCCCTATCCAGGTCTTTAATTAACGTTATTTGACCCGTTCCTTGTTCGATTGAAAATTTTTGTTCTTCATTACCCATAGCAATACTATAGTATACCTCGCCGTTAACACCTTCGTCTATATCCGTAGCATAAACTCTAAGGACTTGAGTTTCCAAAGTGGAACCCTCCGAAATTTGAACTTTGTAAGGAGTAGTTAAAAATACAGGAGGATTATCGTTCAGATCGTCAATAAAGACATTAACGGCAGCCTTGTCTTTGAGTTTGATTTGACCGTTATCATGGACCACCGCTTCAAGAGAGATGAAGCCTTTACCGGTCGTTTGTATGAGAGCCTCTCTATCGAACACTATCAAGGTTTTTACAAAACCGTTTTTAGGATCGATAATGAATTCATTTTGCGGATTTGCAAAAGAAAAAATCAATTCTGCATTTCTTCCTATATCGCGATCCGTGGCCGATAGTTTTCCAACAAATGAGTCTGGAGGCTCGTTTTCCAATACGTGGAATGTAAACGTTGAATTTGTAAATTCCGGTGGATTATCATTTTCATCTATTACGTGTATTACAACGGAAACGGTTGAACTCCTCGACGGCTCTCCGCTGTCTCTTGCCGTAACAATCAAAGAATAATAATCTCTTTCTTCTCTATCAAGGGAACTTTTAACATATAAATACCCATCGGGGAAAATTCCAAACTTTCCTTCAAAATTACCTTCACTAATTTCATAAGAAACCAGTCCGTTAAGACCGAGATCGGCATCGGAAGCCACCAAACGAAAAAATCTTTTGTTGACTCGAGTTGATTCTAAAAGCGATGTTTCGTAAGATGTATGATCGAAAACTGGAGTGTGATCGTTCACATCTTTTATGGATATAACAACAGTTTGTTTTGACATAAGGGGAGGTTTTCCAAAATCCGTCACTGTTACTTCTATCGGAATAAGAGTGCCAGGATCATCATTTATTTTGCGATTCAAGTAAATTACACCGGTAGCTTCGTTTATTCTAAACCTTTCCTGGGCATTTTTGGTCAAATTGAATTTGAATCTACTATTCGGACCGGAATCCAAGTCTTTCGCTATTGAATGATAAACTTCTAATCCGACAGGAGAATTTTCGTTGACTTCAACGAAATCCTTTTCCCTCGAAAACATGGGCCTGTTATCGTTGACATCAGTGACGGTTATATTCACCCAAGTTTTACCATAGGCAAGATTTGCTCTGGCTATGCAAACCAAATTATAAAATTGTTTTTCTTCTCTATCGATAACTTTGATTCGAGTTAAAACGCCAGTTTCCTCATTTAGAAAAAAGTTTCCAGTGGAATCTCCATCTGTTATATAGTATCTGATATTTTCTTTTTTTATATCGTGTCCCCCGTCGCGTTCGCGTATTTCAATTTTACCTATTTCAGACCCAATTTTATCTCCTTCATCTTCGACAATTTTAAATTCGTATCCTGCGAGCATATTGAATTCCAAGCTAATTAAATGATTTTCTTTCATAATTTCAACAATGGCATTTTCGGAACACTTTCGTCCTCCAGCATCCTTTACCGAAATGACCAATTCGAATAGACCTTTTGGAGTTTGCTTTAACGATGACAAAACGTGTATTTCTCCAGTTTTAGGATTTATGTTAAAAAGATCATCGTGACCGCTTTCGATCGAATATTTCAATTCAGAATTTTTTCCTTCATCCAAGTCGTGGGCAAAAACTTGAAGAACCTTATTACCTGTAGCAATATTTTCTGATACTATCGTAAAATATTTTAAAGGATAAAATTCTGGAGAATTATCATTCACATCTTCGACAAAAAGATTAACAACAGCTGTTGAAGATCGAGGAGGAACGCCCTGGTCTTTGGCAATTACTTTAATTTCGTAATAAGGTGTGATTTCTCGGTCCAAATATGATTTTGTCGTTAATTGGCCCGTTAACGAATCCAAAGCAAAGGGCCCTGAGTATTTTGGAGAAAATTCAGCGTCTAAAAAATAGGCGACACTTCCATTAGTGCCTTGATCGGAATCAGATGCTGTTAAAATTGCAACCAAAGTGTTCGGTGGTGTGTCCTCTAAAAGTGTAACGTTAATTTGATCCTGAGAAAATTTTGGACTTTCATCATTTTCATCCAAAACTGTTACTTTGAGTTGAGTGTAAGCCCATTTGGGACTTGGACCACCGTCTCTCGCTGATATTTTAAGCTCTACAGAACCTTGAATTTCTCGATCGATGGTTGTTTTGGTTGTGATTAAACCCGAATCGGCATTTAGTTCAAACCAATTGTTATCATTTCCAGACACAAAAGCATAATAAATTTGAGCGTTAACTCCCGTGTCTTCATCGCTGGCAGTGATACCAGCGACGTAAGTTCCAGGAGGAGATAATTCGCTGAGGACGACTGAATACTCAGATTTTTCAAAAACAGGTTCGTGATCGTTTACATCGTTTACAAGTATGATCAAACTAGCAGACGAAGAGCGCGGAGGAGTGCCTTTGTCTGTGGCCACTATTGTTAAGTTATATTTGCTAATTTCTTCTCTGTCTAAAACTCCATTGACTCTCACAGCTGGAGTAGAATCTAATCGGAAATGATTTAGTTCATTTCCAGCTTTTATGACCACTGTCGTTTCTCCGTTTAGCCCTTCATCTTCGTCTACGACAGTTACAGCTGCAACCACAGTTCCATTCATTGCATTTTCATCAACGGTAGCAAATTTAGCTGGTCGTAAGAAATAGGTAAAATTTATTATTGGATCATGATCGTTTGTATTGACTTCTATTAAATTAACGGTGACGTACGCTCGGCCAACTTGGCGTGGGACTCCGTGATCCCAGGCAGAAACGGAAATCACGCAACTTTTAGGACAACTACCTAGCGAAATTGAATATTCTGAACAATTTTGTTGTCTGACACATTTCAAAGGCTCAACTGTTGATATAACACCGGTTTCGGGATCTATAGAAAATTGATGACCAATGTCCTCTAAATTGTATGTGATTTTCGCATTGTCTCCAGCATCATTATCCGTTGCTCTAACCTGAAGAACACTTGTACCGGGAGGAACACTTTCATTTAATGAAACATTGTAATCACTGTGATCGAACATAGGAGGATTGTCGTTAACGTCCAATATAGTCACATTGACTTGAAGATAACCATAAAGTGGCGGATCCCCACCATCTTTAGCCGATATATTTAGATGATAAAACGCTCGAGTTTCTCTGTCCAAATTCCCTGTAGTTTCCAAGTTCAAATATGACATTTCTCCGCTAGGGTTAGACGTTATATTTATCCTAAACTTTTGGTCTTTGTTACCACCAACGATATTATAATCCAATTCTCCATTTTGACCCGCATCTTTATCAAAAGCAGAATCCAAGAGTAATCTCGTGCCCGGTGCTGAGCTTTCTGAAAACATTACCGTAATGCTAGGCTCGGGAAATTCTGGAGCATTATCATTCATATCCGTAACAACGATTCGAACTTCAATAGGATAAGTAGGTTGACTGGACAGGACGACTAAATCAAATCGATCGGAGCGAAATGATTCTCGATCGAGAACCATAGTTGTTCTTATTACTCCAGTATTTGCGTCCAAAGAAAATTCAGCTGGAGGTTCATTAAATCTATATGTAAAATTTTCTTTAATGGGAATCGTTCCGACAATAGTGCCGCTGGGAAGACCTTCTGCTATTTCAAATGATATTCGTGTATCAACGGCGCGGCTTTGCATGGGTGCTGGAGCTAATGAATTTCCACTTAACACACTGTAAGGCGTTTGTGAAGATTTTTTGTACCCGGGTCCCGGGCCCGGGCCTTGTGCAGCAATCAATAAACATTGACACGACAAAAGAAATGCTAATTTTTTAACCCACAGCATGGCACTATTTAACCGTTTCAACTAGGGACTTTGTTTTATGTATTCCTTATACCAACAACATTGCTTTTATTTCTGGCACTTTTACTTCAAAATTATTAATTTAATAAAATATTAATTATAAATTTTTTTTTTGAGAAAAATAAATAAATGTAATAATCCTCATTTTTTCCAAAATATTATTAATTAGAACTTTTTTTTTTTAAATAAAATTTAACGCGAACGAAACATGACTTTCTCGAATCGATTAAAAAATTAAAATATTCAAACACTGATAGAAAATATAATAATAATCGTCACAAATATATTACACACAAAATTGGTTGGTTTTAGCACGTTGGTCAACACTCACATACACACACACACAAATGAAAAACTAATATTTAAAAAATTCCACTTAAACTTTTTCCTTTTAACTTTTCCATGATTTTTAAAAAATTGAATATTATTTATTATGTATTTTTTTTCTTTTTCTATTATTATAAAAACACAATCAAATATACTCGAAAAACTAAACGAAACTAGATATAACGATACTTGTTAGAATTCCATTCGAAACTATGGTCAAAGTCGAGGTCTTCAGGTTCTTTCGAAAATACCATATCATAAGCGATCTCTTCTGGAGAAAATCTGAAAGAAAAAATGAATGTGTTACTAAGAACGTTGGCCTACGTTAATAACGAGCGAAACAAGGTTTTTTAGTTATGGTTCCTTTTTTTTTTTCAGTTCTTGTTTTGTCTACTAAACAAAATATCTTTGGAATTTCATTTTATTATTATCATAGAATCGAATTTTGTTTTGAATTGTCCGAACAAAAAATTATTTTTTCTATGCAGGTATACAAGAAATTATGGTCAAAATACATCTTTAAAAAAAAAAAAAAAAAAAAAAATTATTTACGATAAAGAACGTAGAATGCAATTTTACTTCATTTTAATAAATTATTAACAAAAAATTTTAATTAAAAAAAATAAATAACTCTTATATATATATACTTATCGTAATTTATGTTATTATAATTGTTAACAAAAAAAAATAATAATAATAATAAATTTACGAAAAACTTCAAAATGATTGGGAGGGAGAAAAAATAAATAAATAAATAAAATTATCGAATTTGTGAATAGAAAATCAATAATTAATTAATAATTGTGATTAGAAAAAAAAAAATTTTACTTCCACTCAAACTCACATATATATATATATATATATTTCCACCGCCCTCACCTCCACCCACCCTTGTGTTAATTAAAACAGGTAAATATTAAAATTATTATTATTTATAAAAAAAAAAAAAAAAATTTAAAGTTTTTTTTATCTTTAACATCGTGTTTTTATTTATTTATTAAATGTAAACTTAAACATAAACAATGGAAACATTGAATAATGTTACTTTTTTCTTTTTTTTTTTTTTTTTTCTATTTTAATAATTTAATTTTATCGTCATAATTATTTACCTCCCTCCACTTCCATCATTACACTTCCTTTTGTTTAATTTTTAAAACGTATAAATTATTATTATTATATATATATATATATACACACATTAATTCATCGTAATTCAAACATAAATTTTTTTTTCCTTCTTTTTCTTCTTCTTCTTTTAATTGTTTACTATTATTATAAACGAATTTTTTAAAATTTTTCATTTAATAGAAAAAAAAAAAGAAAAACTTTTAAAAGCAGGGGGAGAAATTTACTGAAATTAATATTATTATTATTGTTATATTTATATTGTTTTTTTTTTTTTAAATCGTTAAAAATTTTCTGATTGAATCAATATTTTAAACTGTTATTTTTTTTTTTTTTTTTTTTTTTTTTTTTAGAAAAAACCATAAAGGAAAAAAAGAAAAATTTTTCCAGATTTATTTAAAAGTCCCGCTTAATAAGTAGGTCAAAAGCTTAAAAAATTATTTTTTTTCCCGGCAAGTTTTCTAATAATAAAAAAAAAAGAAAAAAATTTGACATAAAGGGGGCCCTGTAGGAACGTTTCAAATGTTTGATTTATGAAAACCCTATTGTCCCTGTTTTTTTTTTTTTTTTTTTTATTTCATGTTATATATGTCCGAAATCTAGTTTTATCTTTTTCTTTTTTTTTTTTTTTTTTTCAAAAAATATATATATATTTATATATTTCCAGTAAATAAGAAAATAAAAATATGTATATTTATATTTAACAAAGTCCAGGTAAAATTTTTACAAAGCAACGTAACGTAATAAAAGAGAAAAAAAAAAAAACCTCTTAAATTTAAATCGTAAAAGCTTTGAACTTGTTTTTTTACAATTTTTTTTTTTCCTCTTAATTCGACAGAAAAAAAAAAACAAAAATATATATATTAATTTATAATATAATAAATTTGCTCAATTAATCTTATCGAAATAATCATTTAATTGTTTTGTTTTTTTTTTTTTTTTTTACGTAATTAACGCAATTTACCGCTAAAATGGGGGTAAAAGGGGAGGTGGGAAACAAATTTCTTATCAAATATAAAAAAATAAAATTTTCTAAAACAATTTTTAAAAAAAAATATATAAAATATCTTGTTTGTTATAATAATTTTTTCATTATTATTACTATCGTCATTTAAAATAATTTAGTAAATTTTATTTAAAAATTAAGCGTTAAATGAATTAGTTTCGCACAACAATTGTAATTATCATTAATTAATTAGTATTATTATTTTTTTTATAACTTTAAAATTAAAATTCAAAGGAAAATAATAAAGAGGATTTGAAAAAATTATTTTTGGGGGGATTATCAAATACAAAAATAAAAAAAAAGGCTAAAGAAAGAATATTTAAAGAGTTTGGTACTTTATTCTAAAACAACAAAAAGAAAAATCAGTTTTGAAAAAAAAAAAAAATGTAATGAATAAGGTGAAGAAATACTGAATTAAACAAAGTTAAATATTAAAACAAACAAACAAAAAATAATAATAATAATAATAATAATAATAATAATAAT